CACGACACGAATGGAGGCCGCTCGAGGCTGTGCCTTTCCCGACATCATATCACCAGCGAGCAATGAACTCGTCCCGTGTCAGAAACGTATAACCAAGACAAGTAAAAAACCACAGGTCGAGGCCACGCCGCCGGATAAGTACAAGTGGTAATTATGGCAACCTCAACGGTGGCGTACTCACTCCGACACGTTTCTGCCTTGCTTGATCGCGAGGATGCCGCCGCGCCGGCATGTTTCCCACCATCGCGACGCATCCTTTACCGCCGCGCCGGCGCGTCTCTCACCGTCGCGACGCATCTCTCACCGCCGCGTCGACGCATCTCTCACCGTCACGACGCATCCCTCACCGCCGCGCCGGCGCGTCTCTCACCGTCGCGACGCATCTCTCACCGCCGCGACGTATCTCTCACCGCCGCGTCTCTCACCGTCGCGACGTATCTCTGACCGCCGCGTCTCTCACCGTCGCGTCGACGCATCTCTCACCGCCGCGTCTCTCACCGCCGCGACGTATCTCTCACCGCCGCGTCTCTCACCGTCGCGACGTATCTCTCGCCGCCGCGCCGGCGCGTCCCTCACCGTCGCGAGCTGCAGCGGGTGACCATGCTGATGTACCAGACGGCCGGCTCTGGGAAGGGCAGCAGGCGGATGGCGCGCGTCTCGGCCTCGGATGCCGAGCTGAGTCGGAAGGCCAGTGGCGGCTCGCAGCGGAGCCGGCCGGCCGCCGAGACGGGCAGCACGTGCGCCGAGAGGCAGCACTCCACTGTCACCACCTGGGCAGAGTCGTTCTGGGGACGAGCCAGGCGGGGTGGTCAAGGTGGGAGGCAGCACTCCACCTTCACCACCTGGGCAGAGTCGATCTGGGGACGGGCCAGGCAGCCTGGTCAGGGCACGAGGGAGCAATTATACCAGAGCAGAACGGCTCGCCCGAGGCTGGACAGGGTCATGACGCATTGAGCTGCGCCAGCTGTTTAGGGAAATTCACGGCCCCTCGCACCGCTGCGAAGCATATGCTGAACACGTTTGATACTAACACGAGGCATATGCTCAACATGTCTGATACTAACACCAAGCATATGCTGAACATGCCTGATACGTGTTCAACACATGCTTGGTGCTGCATATGTTGCATATGCCTCCCACCAAGCATATGCTGAACACGTTTGATACTAACACCAAGCACATACTGAATATGTCTGATACCAACACGAAACTGAAAGCGTGAGGATAGGCTTAACGCCGTGGGCGGGAAGCGTAGCAAATGGCGAGCTGGTGAAGATTGGACAGCGACTGACCGCTTGCCAGTGCGGCGGGGTGCCCTCACCGTCAGCAGCTTGTTGAGCTGCAGGTCCACATACAGGGTGCCACCCACGTCGACAAACTCTCGCGTCTCGAACCGCACCGAGTGCGGCCGGCGGTCGGTCAGGTGCACCCACGTGTAGTAGAAGGCCGCGTTCTGCGGCCCAGCGAGCCGGGTCAGGGCGTCACGTGCACCCACGTTCGTTCAGAAAGCCGCGTTTGCAGCCGAGCGCGCCGGGTCAGGGCGTCAGGTGCACTCGCGTTCGGGGGAGACACGTGCTCTGAAGACACGCTGAGGGCTTCTGAAAACACTCATTGCGCTCGACTGGCTGCATCGGTACATCGAACGAAAACATACGACGGTCAGACGGCTTAGAGCCAAACAGTGTGTTTGGTGCTCAGTTGCAGTGACGGATTTAACATTACTGCAAACAATAAGCGGTATTGGTGATCTTAAAACGCTATGACATGGTGTTGATGATGATGGCGTTGATGATGATGATGCTGGTGATGATGATGATGATGTTGCGGCGCGTTCACCACACTGGCCGTTTTGCGCCCAGCTTCATCAACTTCGACCACTCTGATGTAGCTGATGTCAATTTCGAGTCACCATCCATTTTTCTGGCTCGCTCCTTATAATAGAATAGCGCTTAAACGGGACAACTGCCGTAAGTTGGCCTTAAAAAGGAGCCAGCCGGCGCCAGCCCCTCCAACCCTTTACAAGTCCACGTTCCACGCGGAGCTCGATCCACCGGTCCACCATCAGGGCGGGCGGTCCGCCAACGCGCGCTTACCACAGCCAGGAAGGTGTCGGTGAAGTCCTGCGCGTACTTGATGCGTGTCAGCTCCGTAAGCGGCCAGCAGCGCGGTGACGTCGGCCGCGCTACGGAGCCGTTCGTCTGCCGTCCACCGCTGACGTCAGCCGTGACGTCAGCAGTCGGCGGCCGGCCCTCGGAGGCGACGAACTCGCAGTCTGTGGTGGGCAGGAACACAGGATCAGCGCCACGACGAGGGTGCACTGAGCTCGAACGTGAGGAGGTTATCAGACTCGGACAGGTAGCACAGCTACGAGGTCATCGGACCCGGACAGACAGTACGGCCGAGAAGAGGCCATCGGACCCGGCCAGACAGCACAGCCGTGAGAAGGCCATCGGACTCGAACAGACAGCACGGCCACAATGCCACCGGACCCGGACAGGCAGCACGGCCGTGAGGAGGCCATCGGACCCAGACAGACAGCACGGCTGTGAGAAGACCATCGGACCCAGACAGGCAGCACGGCGACTTCAACCATCAGCGATATTACTGCCTTTGGGATGAGAGCAGGGAGCTGTCCTCATTTCTCCAATGGCATGCGCTTTCAAGTACAGTGAGGGTTGAAATAAGGGACATTTCAAGAATTCACGAGCCGCATAGTCATAAGAACAGGCACCGATGACAACTGTATGGCAATGTTTTAACGAGCATTTCCCGCACAGCACGAGGACTTGACAAGACACTCAAACATTTTTGACTTACTTTGTAGTTAGGTGTCATGTTGACCAATGCCACATCAGGCCCACAATAACGACCAAATTAAGGACGGAAATATCGTTCGGGCTATTGTCCTCGTCTGATGTGCATTACTAGTAGGTCGTCTCAATCCGTCCCTTTAACTACCAACAACCGCACAATCGCCGGCAATCGATGTTCCCTCTCCTTTGCCTGCCTTCCGGCACAGTCACTATCACACACTACCTGGCCGTGCACCTGTCTGACCCTGACAAAGTCCTGTGTGCCCACGCACAGCAGTAGTTCACCTACGACTCGAATGGTGGCTCTTAGGTTTACTGCACCTCGCCAGCACAGGACGAGGTGGGGGGGTATGATTCCACTGCCGGTTCCACAATCTATGTGTTCGATAAAAAATAGGCAGCAGTTCCGTACGTGATTTACAGTTCTTCTCTCGGTACCTTTACGGCACCTCCTACGGTTGGCCGATCCAGATAGGTCAAACAAATTTTTGCCGTCTGTACGTGGCCTCTAATATAGCGGCGAAGTCAAGATGACAACTAAGCGTGCGCTATTCCCTTCTAAGCATAGCATGAGGCCATCTGACAACATTATGCGACCTTTCATGATCTTGACCTTGGATGACCTTACCCTGATATTTAGAGGCAATGATATAGCCGCATGCTTCAGCGGGGAACACCATCGCGCGCTGACAGCGCGGGGCCCTGCGGCGTTCAACTGGGCGAATAACCGCACCAAGTGTGCCTAACAAACTAACTGTCGTCTTCCTCATCGGCGTGAACAACGATATATGCCAAAACATGCTCCTGCATTTGGCAGAACACGGGTTTCCCGAGAATTTCCCTCGGCTGGACCCGAACCCGAGACCCACGTGTCAGGGTGACGGTGAGGTTGACGACGGCGTTGCTCTCGGCCACCACGGCCAGGTGGTAGTAGGCGTCGAGCCACAGCTGGTCCGGCTCCAGCCGGTACGTGCGGCCCTCGCGGACCCCGCTGATGTTCAGCTGGCCCACGGGCGCGTCCTCTGGCGAGGCGGCGTCCTCTGAGGACGCGGGTGGCGGTCACGACACCGCCCGGTCCAGCGAGGACCCTCGCAACGACACAGATAGCGGTCAGACAGCCGCAGGTCGCCACGCCACACGATCCATAAGCGAGAGCTTCTCAGAAGACAAAGGCAACAGTCGGGACATCAAGCTTTCATGTGGGTACTCCTCTCCTGAGGATGCAGGCTGCGGCCGGACAATGGAAAGCCAGCTAAGTCGAGACCCCCTCACGATACAGGCAACAGTCAGGCCATGGCACGGCTCGGCGATTTGGGCGCACCCGAGGGTCCTCAGCGAGCAGCAGAGGTATGGCAAGTGGCGATCACGTGGTAGTGAGTGACAGTACGGCGTACGTGATGGCGCGCTGGTTGGAAGGGCGCGCGGCCGCAGCGCCAGCCAGCTGATGCAGGGGTGCACGTCATCCTCGGGCGGCGCGCCGGGCTCCACCACGCGGCAGCCTGACACCCGCACCGACACCGACTCCGTGTCCGACGGCACGTGGAATCTGCCGGCGCAGACACGGTATCAAGACCAGCGCACACAGCCACGGACAGTCATGACGTGTGCTGACATGGACAGTGTCAGACACGGAGTGTCGGACATGGACAGCGTCAGACACGGAGTGTCGGACATGGACAGCATCAGACATGGACAGCGTCAGACACGGACAGCGTCAGATACGGACAGTCAGACATGGACAATGTCAGACACGGAGTGTCAGACATGGACAGTGTCAGACATGGGCAGAGTCAGACACGGACAGTCAGGCACGGACAGCGTCAGACATGGACAGCGCCAGACACGGACAGCGTCAAATGCAGACAGTCAGACATGGACAATGTCAGACACGGAGTGTCGGACATGGACAGCGTATGACACGGACAGTGTCAGACGTGGACGGTGTTAGACATGGGCAGTGTCGGACATGGACAGCGTCAGACATGAGAAGTGTCAGACACGGAGTGTCAGACATGGACAGCGTCAGACATGGACGGTGTCAGACACGAAGTGTCGGACATGGACAACGTCAGACACGGACAGTCAGGTACGGGCAGTGTCAGACATGGCCTGTGTCAGACATGGACAGCGTCAGATATGGGCAGTGTAGACACGGCTGATCACGGCCGGCACACAAGCATGGAAGTTCACACGATCTGGTGCGACGGACACGGGTTCACGAAGGAGTGCATGGTAGCCGGGACGGACAGAAAGACTACCTGTGCACTCACGGTCACAGGGACACCAGTGGCCACCCACACAGGCATACACGGCCCCAGTCTAATGTTGATAAGCAGCTGTGGGGGAAGGGGGGGGGGGGGCGCAGCAAGCTGCACATCAAGCCAGGATCGTAATGGAACGAGTCGTACAGCGCATGACCGATGAACAGAGCAAGCACCAGATGAGATGTGGCGGAAGCCTGAAACAAGTGGCAGTGCTGATACAGCAATGTACCGGGCCATGCGGCACGTGCCACATCGTTTAGAGCGCGCGGGTGCACGTATCCCACCCCGAGAGCAGCAGCAACAGGCTAATGGACACGTGACATTCGCCGTGGCGAGAGCGCCCGCCCGAGCCGGCGAGCACTGCCTCGGGGCAGGGCTTCGGCTCACTGACTTGAAGTAGGATGTCCGCGCGATGGTGCGTATGGTGAGAGGTCGGTTGGTCTCCAGCAGCTGGGGACGCTCCTGGTGCCAGTACCCGATCGAGCCCAGACTGTACAAACACCTGTGAGTGATGCCCTGAAATACAGACAGCCATTGTACAATGTGTAAAGAATCACTGCATACAGAAAGGGTCTTGACATGCCACTTAATCAGGTTTGCCGGTATAACGGTACTGACTACCACTTTGCTATCATACGAATGACGCACAAAGATTCCTCCATTAAATGTCTCGATCCATGGTCCGTCATTTTCATTCCGACCGTGTAGATCTCTTGTAGTCCGTCGGACGCGGTCTCTGCGATCCAATCAACGGCAAAGGATCTCACAACGATTTTGGTGGCACAATGGTATCTAAAACCCACAGCTCTCCGCATTCCTTCCATCGACTTCCACTTCAGCCCCAGCACAACCACCCGTTTGCCGTGACCGTCGCCGAGCTGGATAATGTCTGTCATCGCCAACTCCTCATGCCCTCCTAGTCCCAGCATGCCCTCCCCAGTGCCTACTACGCTGGTCCGGCTTCAGCAGAGGCGACACCACCCCGTCTATCTCATCTTTTGTTGACCCCATTCTAGCATACCCTGCTGCCACCAGACCCCTGCTGAGCCACGGCCTGGTCCCAGAACAGCACCCCCACACAGACCCGCACCTCGTGTTCCTGGCCGTCGCCCCCGCTGTAGCAGCGGCTCACCTGCTGCGCTACGGCGCGGTCCCAGGGCGCGATGTAGGCCACGGCATACCAGGGCCCGTCCAGCGACGGCTCACCTGCTGTGCCACGGCGCGGTCCCAGGGCGCGATGTAGGCCACGGCGCACCAGGGCTCGCTGCAGTGACGGCTCACCCGCTGTGCCACGGCGCGGTCCCAGGGCGCGATGTAGGCCACGGCGCACCAGGGCTCGCTGCAGTGACGGCTCACCCGCTGTGCCACGGCGCGGTCCCAGGGCGCGATGTAGGCCACGGCATACCAGGGCCCGTCCAGCGGCGGCTCACCTGCTGTGCCACGGCGCGGTCCCAGGGCGCGATGTAGGCCACGGCATACCAGGGCCCGTCCAGCGACGGCTCACCTGCTGTGCCACGGCGCGGTCCCAGGGCGCGATGTAGGCCACGGCGTACCAGGGCCCGTCCAGCGGCGCCGCTACTGTCAGCCGGGTCGGCTCGTGTGGCAGCGTGCCGGTCACCAGTGCCAGGCGAAGCAGCCCCGCGCGCCGCTCGTACAGCTCAGCCGGCTGCGACGCGTTCTCCGGATTGACCACGGGGTAGCTGCCATGCTGCAGGTACCTGCCGTGCGGGAGGGACGTGTCGATGTGCTGCCGTTGGTCGGGGGATGAGCTTGTGTGGAGCGGGGCGGGGAACTGGGCGACCGAGCACGGCATGGAGGCGAGCAACAGGGCACACAACTACACCAGGCGACCATTCGACTGGGCGGGAACGGGTGACCGAGCACGGCACGGAAGCGAGCACAGGGCACACAACTACACCAGCAAAACATTTGACTATCACATAGCCGATCTGGGCGGGGCTGTAGGACTTTTACAGGCCAGAAACAGTGTCACAGCTGGGTGCCACAGCCACAGAAGTCAGATATGTCGGAAAACATTAGAACATTGTCACAAACTATCAGCCCAGGTATTTGCTGGAATAAGCCAATATGTTACTTCAGGTAATGAAATGCATGCAGCTGAGTTGAGGCACTAAGCTACTTTAAGCCTCACACAATATATACAGCCCAAAGCAATCAAACACAGTCCACAATGCAGGGACCTCTCCCAGAACCACACTCACACATGGATGTCCCGGCAATGGCATCCAGGGTCGTCCATGACTGCCAGAGAACTCCCAGAGTGCCTGGGATGTGGCCGGCTGGTACATGGTAGTGAAAGAGCGCCACATCCGCGTAGCTGTGGTATGGGCGCAGCGCACCTTGCTGGTACACATCAGGCAGCTGGCCAGAGGCATGACCCAGCAGCACTGTGGTGGTAACAGGTCAGTAAGGTCAGAAGGAGGGCTGGAGTGGAGATAGGCTAGGGACAGCACAGGAAGTGGGAGAGCAATGAGTTGTGGGTGGCATCAGTGTGAACATGGGTGTGGCCAATGCAGAGTCAGAAAAGGCTAAGGGCAAGTCAGTACATAATGTGCATCAATAAGTGGCATTACAGGTCATCAAGGATAAAGCTTGCCACATATGCTTAAGTAGAAATAAAAAGCTAGCCTAACCCACTATCTTTTAATAAAAAGCTCATCCCTGGATAAACTTCACTATAAACTGAGATAAAAAACTTTCTGCCTCCTCCTTGCTTGTTGTAACATTCTCTCCACATGGTAATGACAAATAGGCTACAATGGCAATACATGTTAGCATTACCAGCTTAACTGGGCAGATGCTTAACTAAACTGATGCTGACAGCAGCAAAAATAGTGCATCATGGACTATGTCCTTCACAGACCCACCTGAAAGGAGCAGTATCATAATTTCTGAAAACAAGTTAAGGTGCAGTTTGTCTTGCTGAGAGGTATGTAAACTGCATGTTTATCTGCAGCCCATTATCTTCCCCACATTTTCATAGCTTTATGGTATGGCTGAAGATGTGAAAACTGCATGCAACTGTAAAAACATTTCAAAGTGCACTTAACATAGGCAGCAGTTTTATACCTGAGATTCTACACACAAGACCATTCATAAATTCCAGGCACTTCTGATATCTATGGCAGTCTGCCTACAAGACCATTAATTCATTCCAGCAAGCATTAAAGCAGTGTGCGCATGATTAAATGTCTGCTTATGGTTAAAACATAGTCAATATCTTAAAGCAGTATTATATTACATGGGGAGGGTAGAGAAGCATGAAAAATATGTTGCACAACAATGCAGGGATGATACTAAAGTTCCTATCCAATGGCAGTAACACACATGTCAGAATGTTATGAAACTTTGAGGTCTACTGCTTAGGATGCACCATTCTATCACAAAACAAAATTCAAACACATCCTACATGAATGACACTTCTGACACACTGAAGCCCGCTGATGCAGAAGTGGTGCCCGCATAAATTTAATATGAAGCAGTCTGCAATCCTCGGCAAAGACATCAGCACCATGCTTGTTGAGCACTAAGTTCCTCCTTTGAGACAGAAGACAACAGTGGGTCACTTTTCGTTATTTAGCCTTCCCCCTCTCAACGCATTTTGTGAACCGACGTCCTTGATCTGTAGAATAGTGGGATCCACACAAGCATGACAACTTATACCTAATGTTGGACCATACGAATACCAACCGCCGCCCCACCATCCTCGGACCTGTCCCACGCCCTCGCGACTACAACCAGAGCTCAAACGCGGAAGGTCAAGATGACATATATTTACATCTTGCTATAGCACATCTGCTGCGTTCAAATGATGCGCACACTCCACTTTCTGCGCTTGCGATCGATCTGACAGCCAATAGCAAACTAGGGTTTCTTTTCTGCCTTCTCTGATTGGTCACGAGCTGCTATATTGTGCGTATAACTCGTTGGCAGATGTTATCAACAAAGGTGTATATCCACCTGCACCGTTGAGGAACCCAAGATTTGAGCGAATCATCAAGCGGCTAACATTTTTGACAAATTCTGTCTTTTGATTTGCCAAATCTTGCGTACAGAGGCGGACATTTACGTGAACAGAACTCGTCGAGATGCGTCAGGATAGAAACAGACACGTTTTCATTTATAACGCTCGCCGTGCAACTATCTATGTTTATGCTTGCGATTGGGCCGGGGCTGCGCGTAGCGACGAGCCGGGTGTCGTGTTGTAGTCTGTTGTTAGCTTGAGTAATAGTAACGTATCACATATATGAGTGATGAGGTTACGATAATATCCAAGGGCTAGTGATTGTAGGAGCTTAGGCACACACCTTTCTTACAAGTAGTGAGTCAGATAGCCGCTCGGCAAGGTGGTTTAATTGTCCCTGGGCGGATTGTGCCTGATATTATGGGTAAGTTTCGTGAATTCTTGGCTTGAGTATTATGAAACAAGGTGCTTGTTAGAGTTGTGTGGATGGAATGGAGAACTGAATTAATTCAGCAGACTCAGACCCCAGGCTAGAGAATGATAGGCACTTCCCCGACACCTGGTCTGCACGCCGTGGCTGGTTTTAATAAGATCTTGTTAGATAAAGCACAATTTCCAACTGTGGACAGGGTGCTAAAAAAAATGGGTTAGAAGTTGTTGAGTTAAATCATGGGGATGCATCATGACATGTTCTGTGACTGGGGAGATCACAGAAAATGATAATCTGATGGTAAATTGTATCAGAAGGGGTATGTAAGTTGAATAAAATATACCCCAAGTGAATTTTGTGTTTTTTATGTCATCTAATCTTTGCTTTCATGCTGAATTTGGATGTGGAAAACAGTAGTTCATATTGATATATTTTTTTGCCCAGAGAAAGTGCTTCAAGTTTGTGTGAGTTTCATTTGAATGTTTAACTAATGGAAATTAGCATGGAAAGATGACCCAGATGCTTGGAGTTTTAACCTTTGGATATCAGAAACAGCTTGTTAGTACATTTGCTGTGGTTTTTGGCTGGTCTGTGAAACTGAAGTGTTCCATTTTCCTCTTACACTCACTGAAAGTTTAGTGAAAGCAGATTCTCCATGATAGGAAAATTGTTCTGGTCATCCCCAAAAATGCTTTAATGCTAAGATAGGGTAGTTGTCCATGAGAAGGGTCACACCTTTATTTTTAATACTTTATTTTTAATACTTATCATTTCAGGTGGTCTCTTGAGCTACTTCCAGGGCCTATTTGGCAGCAGGGAAATGAGAATACTCATCCTGGGCCTAGATGGAGCTGGAAAAACTACTATTTTATACAGGTAAGAGATGCACTGTGAACAAATTTACTCTTGATTAAATATGGGCCAGGTGCCGAATCTGCTTTTTAATCTATTTAGTAAAGCATTCCAATGTTCATTACATTGTGGAGGCTGTTGGTAAGGCATGATGTGCAACATCATTATGTAGTCTTTATTATATTATTCTGCTCTTTAAGTAGCATGCAGTGTGTAAATGCTGCAGTGTTTCAGTATATATGAGCTATGTACTTGTTCAGTAGCAGTGTTACTGTTTTAACAGCATCCCACACAAGCATTTGCCAGTCAGTGACAGATTTTTCTGGGCCGCAGGCTTCAAGTGGGTGAGGTGGTCACCACGATTCCCACCATTGGCTTCAATGTGAACAGGTGACCTACAACAACCTGAAGTTTCAAGTGTGGGATCTGGGAGGCCAAACCAGTATCAGGTAATGTTGAAATAAATTGGAGTAGTTTCCAGGTGTGATAGCTGTTCAAGTAATAGGCCTGATTCATTCAGAATACCTGTCCCACTTCTGACCCATGGTGGCATGTAATTTAATGATGCATTTAATCCAAGAGTAACTGTTTTTATTGCATGGTGAATCATTAGGTGTATGTCTAATGAGCCTGATACACTACAATCAATGTTTCAGAGGTACAGGTATTGGTAGGTATTGTATTGTAGCTGTGGAGTGTACTCAAGTGTTTGGGTGATGATTATCTATGATAGAGTGGCATATATAATCACACTGGTTCAGAAGCAGGGTTTGTGAAGGAGTATAAAGCATAAGTCTCAAGTGAACCTGGTTATTCACAGGAATATGTTTTGAAATGCACTTCTCTATGCACTACTATGCACTGCTGCATCTATCCTCACATTTCTTTTGCAAATCAAGTGCCATCACTCACAACTCGGGCGAAATGCTGTGGCGCGGCTGGCCCCAGTGTGTCACTGGGAGATAGCTGTAACTGTGCTCTCATGCTCCAGGCCGTACTGGCGCTGCTACTACTCCAACACGGACGCCATCATCTATGTGGTGGACTCTGCTGACCGCGACCGCATGGGCATCTCCAAACAGGAGCTGGTCTCCATGCTGGAGGTGCGTGGCAGGCACGAGCGGGCCGCCCTCTGCTTTGCACCGCGTGTCTGGCAGGAGAGCCATCTGACGCCCTGTGGGCTTCTGGGCCTGCTCTGATGCATGACCTGCTGCAATGGCCTGCAGCAGGCTGCCCCCAGCCTTCAACCGGCACTCTCCGCTGGTTGGGCTCTCTTGGTGGACTTTGCACGCCCTAGATTTTTGCGGTGGACTTTTCCCGGAAATTTCCTAGCATGCTGTGATTTTGGTCATCTTGGTAGACTGTTTGCTCTGAGGATTGTTGCAGTAAACTGTTTTTTGCAGCGACATGGCTGGTGCAGTCTGTCCGCTCGTGAAACTCCTGACAGGCTTTCTACCACTCCTCTCACATGTGCCCCCGTGCTGACGCCGACCTGCTACTGTCTGCAGGAGGAGGAGCTGAGGGGCGCCATATTGGCAGTCCTAGCCAATAAGCAGGATATGGAGGGCGCCATGTCCGTGGCCGAGGTCTACTCGGCACTCGGCCTGGAGGCGCTAAAGACGCGAACCTTCCAGATTTTCAAGACGTCAGCGATCAAAGGAGAGGGCCTTGACCAGGCCATGGACTGGCTAGCCAATGCGCTGCAGGCCAAGAAGTGACGTGTTTATCAGTGTTTGGCTGTTTGGATCCGGCGACCTTGAATGCTGCACGCCGATTGGCCAGCTGTGGTGAGAGGCGGAGTGCAGCGCCGGATCTCCGACGGGACCAGGCGTCGCCGGGACGCAGCGAAGGGTGATGGTGGTCATGCTTGTCAACTTGCGACGTTATTGGCAGGCGAATTTGGAGTTGATTCTGTTGTTTGTCAGTCCATCATTGTTTTGTTTATTTCCGTAGTGGATCGGTATTGCGATGGAAGCTGTGCACGTTTGTAACATATGCTTAATGTAGCTACAATCTAAATTGGGTGGTCGATATCTTTACTGAGTGTCGCGTCTATTTGACTGGAATAGTCGTTTTGATCGAAGCGCAACGACCGCGCTGTGCTGGAAATAAGCGTGTTTTATCTTGGTAATTTTCGTTGAGTATTGATGTGTGAACGCTGCAGAGGCATGGAATAAAGATATATCCATTTACCCCGTAATGAGTCAATTCCAAGTTTTGGCGCGGCAGTCGCGTGTATTTTCTGTCGCATCATTCGGCAGCTAGCCGTGTCTACGTACCAAATAAACCACTATTCTGCCAAGCCTGCTCCTGGGTCTCAACTATCTGGTTCTCGGCTCTCCAGGCCGGCTCGCCCACGACCCTCACCCCCTTGGGGCGGAGTAACTGACACGGCTTCCTCGACATGATTTGCGCTGTAGTCCGCCCGGCGGTGCCTCGGGCACCTACTACAGATGGTGACCGCTGTGTGGCGCACATGCGTCGACAACTACGCTGGACATCAGGTCTGGCGTTCGGGGCGGAGAGACCTCTGTTGCGGCCAATCATGAGCGCATTTTGGTGATTTTCATGCGGCGCGTGGACACCCGTATGGGGGGCGCCGTGTGGTCGCCCGTTTGGAGGGCGCCGCGTGGCCACCCGTCGAGAGGGCGCTGCATGGTTACCCTTCTAAAGGGCATCGCAGAGCCAGCCGTCTGGAGGGCGCCGTGTGGTCACCCGTCTGGAGGGCGCCGCGTGGTCACCCGTCGAGAGGGCGCCGCGTGGTCACCCGTCGAGAGGGCGCTGCATGGTTACCCTTCTAAAGGGCATTGCAGAGCCACCCGTCTGGAGGGCGCCGTGTGGTCACCCGTCTGGAGGGCGCCGTGTGGTCACCCACCTGGAGGGCGCTGTGTGGTCACCCGTCTGGAGGGCGCCGTGTGGTCACCCGTCTGGAGGGCGCCGTGTGGTCACCCGTCTGTAGGGCGCCGTGTGGTCGCTCGTCTGGAGGGTGCCGTTGTGGTCACCCATCTGGAGGACGCCGTGTGGTCACCCGTCTAGAGGGCGCCGTGTGGTCACCCATCGAGAGGGCGCTGCATGGTTACCCTTCTAAAAGGCATCGCAGAGTCACCCATCTGGAGTGCGCCGTATGGTCACCAGTCTGGAGGGCGCCGTGTGGTCACCCGCCCGAAGGGCGCGTGTGGTCACCCGTCTAGAGAACGCCGCATGGTCACCCACTTGGGAGAGCGCTGGCCACCCGTCTAGAGGGCACCACATAGTCATTTGTCTAGAGGGCGCCATATGGCCACCCTTTTAAAGGGCATCGCAGAGTCACCCGTCTGGAGGGCGCCGCATGGCCACCCGTCTGGAGGGCGCGGCTTGGTCACGCGTCTGAAGAGCGTCACGTGGTCACCCGTTTGGAAGGCGCCACAGAGTCACCAGTGGAGCTCGCTAGGAGAGCGTTATACAGCTACGAGCGGTGCTCACTTGGGGGATATCATTCGGCTATGATCGCGCGGCCGCTAGTGGAACTCGCAATGAGGACGCCCACTACTGAAGACGGCATGGCCGAGGATGGCGAATGCTGGGAGAGCTGCCGCTGCTCATTTCCGGATTGTCTTTAGATTTGAACCCTGACTGCGCTCAGATGACCTTAAGACGTCCCTAACAAAACGTGGTCGCCGTCGGATAAAATTAAGAGGCCCAATGCTCGCAAAGCTCGTGATCTATACCCTCAGATGTGGCGTGGGCTGTCTGATATATTGCGGCATTTATACCGCAGTGCGTGTTTGCATCTTACTTGGGTGGGCGCATCACCAGATCAGGACCAGCCCAAAGGACAATCAGGTCAGGACTGAGACCCCACCAAAACTTACACAGGACGACGTCACCAAAACAAGCGCAGACGCCAGCCCCACCAAGGCCATGAGCGCAGCGGCCAGCTAACTCCACAGAGCCGGCGCGGTGACCGGTCCCAGTAGAGCCAGCGTGGCGGACAGCGTCATCCGTAGCACCGCAGCGGTAGATTCCAACAGCCAGCGCAGCCCCCAGCCTCACCAGAACCAGCGGAACAGCCGACCCTGCCTGACTGAGCCTTCGTGGCGATGTAGCCTGGAGCCAGGGCGGCGGCCATCCCCACCAGAGCCAGAGCGACAGCTGACCCCAGCAGGGCTGGTGCAGCGAAAGACCCATAAGTGCTGACGTAATGGCCGGTCCCACCAGAGCCAGAGCGACAGCTGACCTCAGCAGGGCTGGTGCAGCGAAAGACCCATAAGTGCTGACGCAACGGCCGATCCCACCATTCACCAGATTTTTTTAAAAAATTGCACCGCTCAAAAATGGAAATGAATCGTTTGTGCAAGCAAGCAATCAAATACAAATAATACCGCCGGGTTTGTCTCACCAAATCGACAATATTGAACAGACAAATGGAGGTGCCCATGTTTGAAACTTTTGGTGCCTTGAGCAGCGTTTGACTTCGTTTTGATGTTTATCATAATTAATTATTCAATTTACGTCGAATGAAACCACATGAGACAGCCAAACGTCGGCTTTTCAAAACTCTGGAATCGAGTTGTCTCAGACGGCCATCCTAAACTCGATAGCAGACTTCCTTCAACGGGACACCACACGGTCGCTGGTGGCGGCTTCTTGGAGGTCTTCTTGGCATCGTGAACTGACCGCGATGACAAACTCAGAGTAGTAATAAGTGGCGCTTATATTAGCACCGCGTGAGCGAGGATGATGATTCCTGTAACGCTCGATGCCGCGTAATGCGGCCTTTTAAAAGATGTGTGTGGCGACATCACTGTGAAAGAAATGCGGGTTGGAACACAATGCGCTCATGACCCTGTCAATAAAAACACTCCACGTATACACATATTAAGGTTCACAAGCCAAGGGCACAGGCTCAGGTTTTCACATTAATCTCTTAAGTTGTTTGCTATGTTAGATTCGTTGGCATGGTTTGTATGCTGTTTTGTTAGTTTTGGTCATGTTAGAGCATATCATAACCAGATCTTTCTCATTTATGAAAAGTAGCCTTCCCATGAAGAAACATTACCTTTTAAGGTGTTATGTGTATGATGTGCTATAATGATAGACGTTTGATATGCCAGGAAGTGCTGGCTAAGCGAGGATACCAGCCAATCATTCCAGCTAACCTTGCTAGCTAGTTAGCAATTAAGCTGTTTCGTGTTTGTTTAACCAGCACCTCCTGGCAAACTGAAAGTCCGTCATTTTCAGCATAGGTACTCATAATGATGGACAGTCAGGAGATGAACACCTTTCTTGCTTGCATGAAGACATGGCCGAGCTATTGTAGGCTCATGGCAACATTCACTATCGCGGTAGCAGACACTTGTAACCAACGGGCAACGTAAAATGTAACGAGTTATGATTGGTGGAAGCCTGCCCATACAGCAATGAAATGCTTTCTGGCATAATCTTAGACGACATAGATGTCGTCTGAAGAATTTGTAGAGGGTGTGGGATATGCGTGCAGCGACTGAAAGTCTCTGCTGACGCTAACAACCACCCCATGCTAATCGCCTCGGTTTTTGATTGAACTGCAGCTAATCGACAGCCATCGTCAGATGCACCGGTCAGACGACGCGTCAAACATCACACACAAAGCGACCCGATCATCCATCTCTCCAGTTGGCTGGCCTCCACCCGTGTCTGGGGTAGCCCGACGCGTCATAGCTCGGCACTCCAGCTGGAGGCATGAGCTCAGGTCCTGTCACGCACAGCTCGTCGGCATCCGTCCACTTTTGTACTCCAGTCGCCGCATGAAAGCGCGTGGTTAGCCGGCGCCGCTCTGTCCCGTGTCACCCGCTTTCCGTGGCCGGCCCAGCCGACAGGTCACCGCACCACACGCAGCAGCTCCAGACCCTTGAATGTCTCGCTCTGCAGCGGCAGGCAGCGGCCGCGCTCCGGCTCCGGCCGCTGTCCGGCAGGACAACCGCAGCGCAGCTCACCCGGGCTGGTCGGCAGCAGCACCTGTCCGGCCGGACAGCCGGCGCGCGAGAACGGCTCGGCGCACTGTCCGGCCGCTGTCCGGCCGAGCTCCGGTGAGCACGCGCACTCGGTCCGGCCGCTGGTGGCGTTGTACGCGAAGAGCTCGCGCGCCAGGCACGGGCCGCGCGTCTGCTGCTCGTAGCAGCGGCCGTCCGCCGGCCAGAAGTTCTGCGTGAAGTGCTTGGTGCAGCCGCACGCGCCGCGGTAGCTGATGCCGCGGAACTCCTCGTACTGCACCAGCTGGCCGGCCGGGCAGGGGCCGCGCCGTCCGATCCGGTGACAGTACTGGTCGGCTGGAAAGTACAGCTCGCCGCGGCGGCACGGGTTGGTCACACAGACGCCCTGGTGCGGCGCCTCCGGCCGCGGCGCCACGAACCGGTTCCGCTTGCACGGGCCCTGCGCGAAGGCCCGGTGGCACGCGCCCGTGTCGGGCAGCACGAGGCTGTCCGCCGGGCAGCGGCACTCGGTGCTGCCCGTGACGTTGTTGAAGGCGAACACGTTGCCGGGCGGGCAGGGGCCGCGCTCGCCCTGCGGGTAGCACTGGCCCGAGCGGCGGTCGTAGTTCTCGCGCAGGCCGGCGTGGCAGCCGCACTCGGCCAGGCGGCGCGTGTTGTTGTAGAAGAACACGAGCCCGTGTGGGCACGGACCGCGCGTCATCTGCTGGTAGCAGGAGTCGGTGTGTGGCCAGTAGGTGCGCGCCATGTACCGGCGGCTGCAGCCGCACACGGGCTCGTGCGTGGCGCGGCTGAAGGTGAGCAGCTCGCCCTTGCCGCACGGGCCGCGGCTCAGGTAGCGGTGGCAGCGGCCCTCCGCCGGCCAGAACAGCTCACCCGGGGGGCAGCGGCCCTGCCGGCGACACGTGGGCGCGCTCGTCGCCACATCCTCCACCAGGTAGTGGCGGCGCGGGCAGGGTCCGCGTGCGTGCCGTCGGTAGCAGCGGCCGTTCGGCGCATGCAGCAGATGACCGTCCGGGCAGACGCAGACCGGCTGGCCGGCGACGCGGTCCCACGTCAGCTCCTGGGTCGGCGAGCAGGGCCCCTGCTGGAAGATCGGGTAGCAGCGGCCGTCGGCAGGCCAGTGCACCAGCTGCCAGCTGCTCGCCGAGCACGGGTTCAGCGCGACGTTCACCCAGGGCGGCGCGATCACGGTGCCGGCGCTGGCGACGGATGGGGCGGCGGCGGCGGCAGCGGCCAGGCAGGCCAGCAGCAGGCGGGCCCGGCAGCGCGGTATCATGGTCGGACGACACACCCTCTGAAACGGCCCGGCTGGCGTTAGGGGCTGCGGCACACGGGGAGGGGGCGCGTGAGTCGTATCGTGCTGCAACCTGTGTGGCGATCGGGACGCATCGCAGTCTTTTCGGATTGGGACCATTTATGATTTGGATTCAAGTCACTTATTTTATCTTAAAAATGAATCGGACCCAACTCGCCAATTTAATCAAGAAACATTGGGTTCGGACTCGCTTTTAGGTTAAGACACCCAGCTCGGATTCGGGAAACATAAACAAGTATAAGAATGTATTCATGTAATGCGCATTCATGAGGCCTAGGGTACAGATGGTGTGGTGATTGAGCTGCGCGGCTGGGAAGCCAAAGGCACGGGCTTCATTTTCCCGCAGTGCCCGCCCTTCCCGCCAGGTTGAGAGGCAGGCGACACCATGTAGTCTCGGCAGCTGGGTGCGTCGCAAAGCATTAATAGCGAACGTTCATGAGGCATATATTGCGTACAGCGATGCATTTTTATGAGAGCGATCCAAAGGAGGCGCCCATTTTACATCACCATAATTATGCCTTCTACATAAATTGGAACATTGAAGAGATTGTCATGTGTCATGTCATTGGGGCTTTACGACGTTCTCAGCTGCTGAGACTATATGGCATCGCCTGCCTCTCACCCACAGCTCGGCTGGGGGGAATCAAATTGACCCCCAAAGGTTTTCCAGAATGATTTTCGAACGGCACGGCATGGCCGCGCCCAATTTTGCACAGCTGTAGAAAATTGAATAGTGGATCGTTTGACAACACAAATTTAGATGCACCTTGTAAGGTCGTTGACCTGTGGCAGGTCGAAGTCAGGCGATGGTTTCAGCGAAGGCAATTTCTAGGGAATCGTCCAATCTGATACAATAACGGAGTGTTTGACGAAGCCATACATCTCTGAGATGCTATCTTAGGCACCACACATATTGAATGAGTAAATTAAGTTGACCTGAGGTCAGACATAAAGGTCAGACTAAGGTCACAACCAGCCCGATTTATTACTCTAGGGCTTGCTGTATGCGATAGTTTGTGTTGCTCATTTCGAATTTATTGACGGCAGGAACCGCATTATACATCGTCCACTGACTTCTTAGAGGTCAGAAAAAGCCATTGACCTAAGATGACCTGGGTCGACGATTTAGGAACATGCTACCTGGCGTAATCTTTGTTGGTTATTCAAATGCAAAACTCAGAGCAGTCTTGTATGATTTTGGCCACCATGACCTTGAAAATGTCAAACAAGGTAACTGCCCCAAATGGGTTTGTGACCTTTTGCTAGAAACAGTTTCCTAGGTTCTGGGGCACTTAAGAGACCAACCTGGAATTTGCCCTTGTTTGGCCTTGTTTGACCTGAAGATCATGACCTAGGAAGCTCAAATTTTGGCCTAAGTGAGTTCACGTACAGGTCAACACACCCCAAAAACTTGGTGTCTCTAGTCTTTTTAGTTCCTGAGATTTCAAGGGGGGTCAAATTGACCCCCACCCGAGCGAAGGGTATCTTAGCCGGGGGCGCGTGTTAATGCAAATGCATCAACCACTACACTATCGGCACCCCCATTGAGGAGATTGTGAGGGGCGAGGGACATGAGCAGGTGATTGGTTATAGAGTGTTTCACACCACGATTGATAGACGGGTGCTGCCAACTCAACCATTAAACGTGCAACTTTACATGCTACCGCCACAGATATGCATACAGTTTGATTTCGGAGTTATCTTGCGCTCCGATCAGGATTCTGAAGCTTTTGGACCTCTGCGCGCAGCCGTCCTTCGTTGAAGAAGGCGTATGAACGTGACGGAATGCCAGAAATGCGCAAAGGAAAGCGATGACTGCTCAGCTATTCCACATTTTTCGATTAGATAACAGCATTATGCAAGTAACAAAATGTCCGAGGTGAAATTACAAAAGCAAGGTGGATTATCGACACCTTTATTGGATTGCTACGCTTTTCGATCAAAAGAACTCCATTCCCCAACTCGATAATACTTTCGATACATTACAAAACTCGGTTTCCGGAATTGCCGCATTAGAAAACTATCAAAAGAACAGCACAGGCTCGCTAGACACTCGCAAAGTGCCGTGCGATCACGGTCGGGCGAAACGGCTCTGTACGGGGCTCCTGGCCGGCCGGCCCTCTCCGGCACCCAGCCCCCGGCCGGCCGGGCCGGCCAGCGCCAATACCACTAACCTCCCGCGCTGGTCCAGAAAGGTAATTCAGGCGGCTGGAATCATTGTTTAAGAGATACAGTTATCATGGTTACCAGCTTACTCCCCCACACCCAATGGCATCGGTCGTCTCAGCTGTGCATCACTTAGCAGCGTGAGCTTTGTCCGCGTAGACGGTCTTACGTGCACAGGAATGATGAAGCGTTCACAGCTCTCAAAAGGAAGCATTTGTGTCAAGCCTTTTAACCCGGAGCATAAAACGACAAATAAAGGGCTGTGCCCTGTCCCAGTAAGAGGCTGCGCCCTGTCCTAATAACGGGCTGTAGCCTGTCTCAATAAAAGGCTGTACCCTGTCTCAATCAAGGGTTGTGTTCTGTCCCAATAAGAGGCCGCACCCTGTCTTAATAAAGGGCTGTACCTTGTCCCAATAAGAGGCTGCGCCCTGTCTTAATAAAAGGCTGTACCCTGTCCTAATAAAGGGCTGTACCCTGCCCCAGTAAAGGGCTGTAACCTGTCTCAATAAAGGGCTGCACGCTATCCCAAAACGACCAATTAAAGGCCGCACACTGTCGCAATAAAGGGTTGCACCCTGTCCCAACACTACCAATGAAGGCTTGTATCCTGTGCGCTCAGTGTTGGCCAGGGTTCGCTTCTAAAGCTTACATAAGTTAGAGACAAGCTATGCACAGAATACAGAAATGAGGTCCCCGTGAAGCCTTTTGAGGCCACAGATTAGCCTCATTCGGACTCAGCAACCAAACCGGATCCGTCTAGGTCGGGCTCATCGAGCCTCATCCCACAGTCGGGCACGTCAAACACGTAGGATCCGTTTCAGCTGGGGCCCAGACTTAGCCCCATTCAGCGGATTTCTAAACAGCCCGGAGACTGCTTAGGAACTATTAGCAAAACTGGACCTTCATCACCGTCCACACGGCTGCTAAGCTCGCCCGAAGACACCCAGAGCAGTCTGATCGCCACGGAGGGTCTGAATGCCACTCTGACAGCCATAGGAGGGTCTGAATGCCACTCTGACTGCCATAGGAGGGTCTGAATGCCACTCTGACTGCCATAGGAGGGTCTGAATGCCACGCTGACTGCCCTAGGGGAAGCGCCAGTCAGCACAGCTGAGCTGACATCTGGCTTGCGCCTACCTGCCATCAGAGATTTTTTACGCACCCATTGTACCCGATACTCGAGATTTGTTGAAGATTATACGCTGTCATGAAATGTTCTTGCTGTGTTGTTTGTCGTCGTTTGAAAGTTAATATGGGTCTCGTGAATGGCAAGGGCTTCATCAGTTTCTGACCGAAATATAGGCACCAACATCGCCAGAAATGCTGTCAATTGAATCTAATATGTGTGCAAATCGTACATGTATTATATGCTTGGTAAGAAGCACACGCTTGTTTAAAGCGTCTTCCTGAGAACGTGTTGTTTTCTATGTAATCTCAAACGAGATCAGCGGATACAAAAGGGAAGATAAAAGATGGAGTCGGCGAAAATGAAAAATAGGAATCGATCTTCAGTGTTATGCGTGATTGATCTCGGGGAAGACAACACAGACATATAGAGACATGGGCATGAGATGTATGAAAAAAACGATGACGAATTTTTTAGAGCTATTCAGCCGTACGTCCGCGTGATACGAAACTGAACTGCAGAGCCTATTTGCAAACCTACCGCGATGTTTGGCGCCTCTACACGCATGGCCACAGAAGTGCAGAAATTAGGTCGAATGCCGAATTTAGTCGAAAAATAAATAGCCAAATGCAGAGCTAGGCCAAAAATTAAGTCGATAATTAGCGCAAATCCTCCCTTTTGAAAGATATGAACGCTTTAAAACATCTGCGCACGTAGGCCCGTCCAACCAGACGAATCTCACGCCACTAAGTGAGCCACAGTTGAGACAACCGATGCCATTGCGGGTGAGAGAGGAGGCTGCTACACGCTACACTATCATCTCTCCTAAGTTTGGCTCTAGCGGTCTGCAGTCGCCTTTCTGGACCAGCTCGGGAGGGGGCCGACAACTGCTGATGGCGTCGGGTCGCACTGGCCAACAGGGGTTGGGTGGCGCACGGGCCAGCCACCGGGAGTGCCGTACCACGCCGGTCCCTCCGGCGATAGCATCCGCACTGTGCGAGTGTGTAGTGAGTCACCACTATTCACCCGATGATTCCTGATGAAGAATTAAAGGAGGACTATGAAAAGAATGTTTCGAACGAATGGAACACGTCATTAGCCCGGGAAATATAGTTTGCAATTAGAACAGCATAGCAAT